AGGGTGTGTGTTTATAATCAGAGAAGGAGGAAACGCTTGCAGAGGTAAAAAGAGACGCATTGGAGATAGATGAGATTATTCTATCTAGTTGAAATAAAGTAGGATAATAAAGAGGAATAAACTTAGATCAACACTTCTGCTTCCTAATTCTGTTCCTTGGTTTGATGAGCATAACTCCCCCGGTTTAAGGCTGTTATTTAAGACTATTTACACACAATATTAAAATAATGTGATCTAGCTGCTTTAGTTTCAAACTGAAAAAATTTCATATATTTTATATGTAAACTAAAAACTAGATTTAATTAAAGTTTTTGATGCAATGTGTTCATCTGAGATCAACCGATAAAAGTTTTTTAAGGTCGATGGCAATTATTTTGACAGTAGTTTAACCGATTCCTGATATGTGCTGCTGATTTTTTTAAATTCTCGCTTTTTCCTTACTAAAATTTATGTGACGAAGACAACACAATAAAAAAAAAGTTACTCAAGTGTCAGTTAAAAAAAAAAAAAGAAAGAAATCCTCCCAAACATTTCTCAACAAGTGATAAATCAACCAAAGTCTGCACCTAGCAGATGCCGATACTAGGAAAAAAAAAAAAACGCTAATATGGGACAAAAACATTGGCCGGCCGACATATCGGTCTATCTCAGCTTTTATTGCCAAAAATATGTCTGCTTATTCAGCTGTTCAAGACTATCAGTGAGAGTTTAGAAAGCTATTATTAGCTTCAAAGCAGCATTACTTAGGTGCAAGTGATGTGGAGATGGGGAAACAATTGTATTAATTGTGATAAATCGATTATTGAAATAATCGTCAACTAATTTAGTAATCATTGAATCGTTAACTGGAGTATAGAGACTCTAAAACATGCCTTTAGCTGATAGAGCAACACACTTAGAGGAGTAATTATACCAAGATTACAAAACAAAACAAAAAATACATAAACATTTTGCATTTAGGATAAAAAAAATAAAAAATTGTGCACCAATATGCCCTATCCAGAACTCCGATTTTCATAATAATTGTTAGTTGCAGCCCTAAAAATTTTGAATGATAAAAATCAGTGTTAGCAAGGAATAATAATGGTATCCTTTCTTCTGCAAGATGATTGGCTGTTTGTAGCAACAGGTTGGAGGAGGTTGGGGTTGTCTCTAAAAGGAAACATGCAATAATTGAGCTTTTATTCAAAAAGAATAACTATGACCTAATGAAATTTAGCAATTATGTTAGTTCAACTAAATTATATGATCTTACAACAACATTGTATATAGTTTTGACTATTTCTGTTCAGCTGGTTTCATTGATTATTTGTTTAACCTGATCTAAAATGAGTTCAAATTGCTAGATTAGTTTCATTGGTTGAACTGTTTACAGTAAAGCAGGTATTATCCTGATTCTATTGCAGCTACACTGATTCTGTGATCATTACTCTGTAAACAGCTAAACAAGCTATGCTTCATTACAGTCTGTCGTTTCAGTAACTACTCACAACATAATATGCAACAATAAAAACAAAACATCAAAAACAACAAACTGGTCTACAGATATTAACATTCACAACAATATAAGTTATAACAATGTTTAATTAACCTTTGGGATAAATAAACTATTATTGAATGTATTAAAAAGTGTCAGAAACAGTGAAAGGTGGAGCTAACTTTAAAGGGTTTCTTTCAAAACCTCAAAATCTTCCCTTGGAGGTTTAAACCTCCGAGACTCCATTTCTCTAAGTGTATAGAGCTTTTTGCTGCACACTGCTGGTCAACTGGTTGAAACAGGGCTCTCATACTTCTCTCATATTCAAAGAAACTGACCAATTTGATTACATTTTTGGATCCTGGCTTTACATAAAATGATTGTGACTAGAGGAAACCTGGCAAACAGAAGGAACAAAGCTGGTTTGGGACGTTTATTTAGAAGCAGTTTTAAATCGTGAGATCAGCTGCGGTTCTTTACTCTGTTATCACGCCATAATTGATCCTAAAGCAGCCTTCGGCAAACACTGATACACTGAGGTGGTGCACTGCAGAACAAAAGCTGAGGTATTTAAACTCTACAGTGATAATAGTATCGCTTCTGATAAGTTATAGAAAGGTGGGCGTTTTAGACTTTTAAAACCAGTCTTGAAATCAATGGAACGACATGGGTGGGGTCTAATTATTGGGGAAAAAGATAACTTACTATTACTGTTTTAACGCACAACAAAAATATCAACCCTAGTTAACGGCTTTGATATTTATACAGAAATTACACGCAGAGATTATTCCTAGCAGACGGACTGAAGCTTTCCCATACAGTTAACCAACACCATAAAAAGCAATCTGGGTGGATATTAATTATTAGTCATAATTCATTCAACTCTTATCTGATGTTTGCAGTGTCTGTCAGAGAGTATGAAGCTTAATAAAAAACAGACACCATTCAGTTGCATTGCGAACAGATATCCACTTCAGTTAGAAACAGTCTTATGAAATTAATGCGTTTTGAGTCCAGCTACAACTCATTAACTGATGGCACTAACTCTAAAGTCAAACAAACAGCCTGATGTAACAAACCCCATCATGGCCGCAACTAGCAGCCAAAAAGTGTGACATGAAAGCTTGGATATTATTTCTAACAATGTATCTCTATATCAGGGGTGTTTACGGCTTTAATCATAGATTTCTAGGTTTTTTTTGTGTCTTAAAAAAATGAGGAAAAGAAATAGATGACTTAATAAAAGAAACTAAAGCTGAAGAATTGATAAACTCAGTAAAGGAACCTGTTGTATTGAAGGAGATCATGTGCAGCCATAAAACTAACTGATTGATTGACTTTATTGATCTCACAGTGGAGAAATGTACTGCTTACATCAGCTCAAATAGTCAAAGCAGAAGAAGAAGGTGTAGGATTATAATGCAGGGTTATTACTGGTGAGCTATGAACCTGCATCCTTAGACTTACCTGATAATGATCCATCTGTACTAGTAAAAGACTTATGATTCACTAAACAAGCTGTTGCCTATATGTAATTAGTAAAACTGCCAAACAGTACAAGTTGTGTCTAAAGCAGGGGGGGAGCTAGATGGGGGACCAGGGGTGGCCTTGGCCACCCTTAGCCAATAATTTGCCACCCCTACCATTTTTCCCCCTCTAATGGCAGCAGTAATACTCTCAAGTGGAATATTCAAAAAATTAAACATTTTTGTGGTTAATTATACACATCAATATACTAACATCAAAGATGATAATTACAGAATTCATGCTCTTTTCAAAACTAAATTTTGTGTTTTATGGGGTAAAGAGATAATTATGTGTATATGTGTCTCTGCAAGTCATCTAGGAGTCTTCGGTGAAATCATAAATAAATATTTTAATAAAAACTTATTAGATAATCAATTTATGTAAATATTAGTGCAGCTAAATATCAATGTTATGCAGAATGTTTATTGATACAAAAGGTTAAGTAATGACAATGATGATTGATTTACGCCCCAGACTCAAAACTGAGTTTTATCCACTATATCTTTTATCTAGAAATTACGGATGTTTAAATATATGTGTCTATTTGTTAGCAAAGGCTGTAGAAAAGTATAGTTTGTCTTTATTTAGAAAATATGGATGTTTTGGTTACTTTTCCTGTTAGAACAGTGTAGATTGACCCAGAGGTTCTGGCGCCTATCAGCTTTCGGCCACCCCTCAGTGTAAAATATTTCTGGCTACGCCTCTGGTCTAAAGTTTAAGTCATTATCAAACAGAATAACTATGACCTAGTGTGGTTTAGTAATTGTGTTAATTCAACTAAATTATATCTTACAACAAAATTATATATAATTTGGACTCATTTTGTTCAGCTGGTTTCATTGATTATTTGTTTAACTTGAAAAATGAGTTCAAATTGCTAGATTGGTTTTAGTGGTTTAATCCTTTACAGTACAGCAGGTATTATCCTGACTCTATTGCAGCTACACTGATTCATAGATAGTGGGTTATCCTGAGCTATCTCTATAGTTATGCTGCTATAGGATTAGACTTCTGGAGGACATAGGGACCCCTATTTCTATCTTTATTATCCCACTCTGCAGAATCTGTTAGTTCAATCTCTAACGTTCTGCTCTCTCTGCTTTTTCTCATAGTAGCTTCGCCTCGTCTATTCCTGTTTGGCTGTGACTCCATCCTGGAGAGAAACATCAGCTGTGCTGCTGCCAACACCTTATTTATAGATGTTGGAGATCAGCCTGTTTTCCAGTGTAGTCCTGTTTTTCTAGCTGTGACTGGCTGGATGTGCTCTCTTCATCCTCTGACATGGGAGCTGGCTCAGAGCTCGTCTGCCTGGCTTTGTGTTTCCTGGACGGGGCCGTCTTTTACAGCTGCTTTCTGTATCTCTGCTTCTGTCTCCTTGAACCCCAGTCGGCCTCGGCAGGTGGCCATTCACACTGAGCCTGGTTCTGCTGGAGGTTTCTTCCTGTTAAAAGAGAGTTTTTCCTCTCCACTGTCGCTAAAAGCATGCTTAGTGTGAGGGGTTATTGAATCAATTTGACAGTATGATCTTGTGAACTGTAAAGTACTTGAGATGACATTTGTTGTGAATTGGCGCTATAGAAATAAATTGAATAGAATCAACAGATAACAGAAGTGATTACATGTTAAAGGTGGGATGGGCAATGTAAAGTGGTATGGATCCAGTTGGATTAACTATGATCAGATGGTGAAACCCTGCAGCTAAAGGGTTAAATAAGATATAATTAAAAACTAACCATCGTTTTGTTGTTGTTTTTTTTCCGTTAAATTAGACGTCTCAGACTTTTTTTAAAAATTATATTTAATACAAAAATAACTACATCGTCTGCCTCCCTGTGTTTCACTCCCTGGATGACGACTTTATAACAAGCAAGAGGCTAAAGGTCTGTAGCTTTAATGGAGCTAACGTTAGCTAGCCGTTAATGTTAGATAGCGGGAAAGGTGTTGCTCTGACAACCACTAATTTCCCTTTTTTTTTATAACATTTTTCAGAACCTACCTCAATTTTGTCGACATTCCTGGCACAGCCGACAACCCTCATGCCCTGCTGGACCAGAGCCCGAGTTATAGCCGCTCCAATCCCGACCGAGGCTCCGGTTACCAGGGCCACTCTGCCTTTCCAGCGCTCCATCTTCACCGGCTCCGTGTCCGAAGCGAACCTACAGCTCAGCTCAGCTCGGTCTCCTCGCGCTGCTCTCCTGCCAAGTCTCACAATCAGGCTGCCGCGCTTGAAGATGTCGCGGGGTTACGTTCGGTATCCGCAACTCGGGATGTACTCGATCCGGAGTCCCGCATCAAACTGTGTGGCACCCGGCACTACGGCAGCAATAAGGGGTCGTAAAGATCGATCCATGCGCCTCTCAGAGCAAAATATCAAGAGTCCGGCAGCGTTGGGATTGTTTGGTTCACTTCACCTCCCACTTTCATCGCCAGCCTCAGGGCTGGGGAGGCGTCGATTCTGGCTCATCGGCGCCACCTAGTGGAGAGGCTTTGAAAATAACATAATATGTCATTGATTTATGGGACTTTTTGTTTTTAATTTCACAAAACACACATTACACAATCTTTCAGAGGACTGGTGCTGGGGAACAGTTAGGATTATGGTGACAAATAACAATAATAAAGCAAATATGAAGGATCAGAGCAAATAATTACAATTCAGTTTAAAAATATTTATTGATCCTTTTGGTCTGTACATGTGTATATAAATGACTCACAAATGTTTTATATCTTTTTGATCTTGTGGGTAGACGCACAGTAGGGTGTGGGGAGGGGGGGTGTAATTTGTAATGTTAAAAAAAAAATTGCCAAGAATGTAATTGTTTGTTTTGTGTTTAATAAAAATAGATCTTTATATATATATATATCTATATATATATCTATAGATATATATATAGATATATATATATATCTATATATATATATATAATTATAGTCGATAGTCGTTGATAGCTGGAGGCAGGAAGGATCTTCTGTAGCAGTCTGTCTTGCACCTGCTCTGGAGAGGCCTCTGACTTAAGACGCTCTGCTGATAATCTGGTTCAGTTTGTGTTCACCACTTGTCGCTTATTCTTTTTTCTTATGCTTAAATTTAAACATTAGTTTGCAACTTTGCTTCACTTACTATCCCGGGTTTGTTTGTGTTAGCATTATGTTGCAGTTTCCATCTATTTATGTTTGGGTTAAAGCTATTACTTCTGGATTATTGGTTGAAATTGTCTATTTTGTTTCAAAATATATTCATGGTATTTGTTTTCTTTTTTACTCCTCATTGTTTGTTCAAGTATTACTGCTAAATTGGCTTGATGATGTCATCAATTACCTTGTCTTGTTTTGTTTAATGGCGGTTGGCAAACAACTTTTCGCTTCATTACCGCCACTAACTGGTGAGGAGTGTGGATCAGAATGGCCCTATTCATAAAGATACTTGTATTTATTTATCTATATATCTATATCTATAATACTATTTTACAATACTACATCCTCCTAATTATTCCTGTTATTATTAAATATTTAAATAAATATTGATAACATTTTTTTGACTTTTTCTGCAAATGTCTATCAAATCGAAATTCACTTTCTCCTTACTTAGGTCTCTAACCAAATTCTTTCTTTCTTCTTCATACTTCTTACATCCTATAAAACCATCTTCTTCTCCTTTCTTCTTCCCATTGTTTTTTCCACATTTCCTTCATCCTTTGTTAAATAATGCTTTTCGTTTCTGTCTTACTTAAGTTAATCATCATATCAATGGTTTTTATTTTGTGATGCTTCTTAGCAATCTTGTCTGCAATTTCATTTCCTTTAATCCGTCACTTACCTTGCTGGATTCTACCTTTGGAGTAATGCTTTGTTTGTTTTTCTTTAAAGTAACTTTTTGAGTTATCTTGTATCACATTGTTTATTTTGCAGACTATTTCTTTGTGTAAGTGAGTTTGTAAATTAGATTAATAATTTTATTCTTGTTTCTCTTGCCAATTGGTTATTTAAGCACTGAGCTCTTGGAAGCTCAGAAAGGGTTGTCAGAGTGAAAAGTGCTGAATAAAAGACAACAGAGAAATCAGGAAACAGTGGCTGAAGCTGTTTTCTTTTTGGGTTTTTTTTTTGTACACCTTACTGATCCTCGACCAAACTACTTGACAAACATATATGATAAAGAGGTTGATTACTGTTGTCCAGTGGTGGTTCGATATGAAATTTACCAGGGTGAGGCTAGTGTCTTTTCCTGGGGGACAGAAAAAAAAGAAAAACAGAGAACAACTCATCCGTTGGTATATTTAGTGAGCCACAAAGTCAATGTTGCAAACACCTGAAACAACAGATGAAACCTGTGAACTTTTATTAATCCGACTGGAGCTTAAAGCTGACTGTAATTGCTAATTAACTGTTAAAAAAAGTTGTAAAGGTGACATAATAAATCTATCCAAGGGACAAATCTTTTCGGGTTCCTCTGTATTACACAGATTTAATATTACACTCCAACAACTGATCTACATAGGTGAAGATTTCTTACAATAAGTGCATCTTCGCTCAATTCTAGTAGGAAAATAAGATGATTAGCAAAAGGAATGAGTATCTCTGCTCTTATAATTAGATATGATGCACTGGATATATATATATGCGCTGTTGCCCATAATGTTTTTTCTCTTTATTAAGAATACTTCTTTGCGTTATCTTCCTGTATTTTAATCATGTAAAGCACTTTGCATTGTCTTTGTACTGAATTGTGCTATACAAATAAATTTGCCTTGCCTTGCCTTGCCTAGTCACCCCAAAAGGTTCCCAAAAAATGATCAAATGGGAGGGAGAGTCTTTCCATGTTCAGCATGTGGTATTTTGCAAGTAAAAAACAAAAACAATATTTACCACATCAGAAGTTTCACTATCAAGACCATTGACATAGTACTCGATATGGTTGGTTAAAAACCTGGAATATTTTGCATTTTCAGAGATAACCACTCTTTGATATCTCTCTAGAATTTATTTAAGTTAGGACAAGTGAAGAACTATTGAAGGAATTCAACAGGACAGATCCAACTACGTTAAATTCAAACCCTTTGTGTAAAAAAAAAAAAACAGCAACTGGGTAAATTTTAATTTTTTTAAAGTGAGTCTCTTTTACCTTGGGTGCAAGCGGCACATTAATGTACCTTGAGAAAGCCTTTCAGCTGTGTTCAAATCTACGGTTTTCATTTTTCTGTTATAATCAAATAACTTGGATTAAAATGAAGACATAAGGACAGGCGTGTTGCACTTTCTAACAGTTAGATTACTGTCCTTTACCTGCAGCTTGGGTTGACCTGGAATGAGAGTAGAGTACCTCAATTTGTTTTGTATAAAATTATCAAAGGAAACAGGAAGACCTTTACACACTTCGATATATTCATGATTTTTACAGTTCAGACTAAATTTGTCAGCAAATCCACTGTGGGTTAACAAAACTTCATAACTGTCCACTGTCTCCTTGGCTTCACCTTGGCCCAACTGTGGATCTGCTTTTCTCATATCTCCTTCAAAATAGTCAGTTATCATGAGCTATTTTCTATATTTGTGCTGCTATATGCTTAGGCTGCTGGAGGACATAGGGACAACTTTTCCTCATCTTGCTTCGTTCTATCTCTATTCTCCCAGTATGCACTATTTGTTAAGTTCCACTCATAACTTTATGCTTTCTGCTTTTTCTCATCATAGTAGCTTCATGCGGTCTGTTCCTGTTCGGCTGTGACTCCATCCTGAATTGAAACATCAGCTGTGCTGCTGCCATCGACATCATCGTTAACTTGAAATAACATTTATAGGGATTATAGAGGTTGTTCAATCCAATGAAATACATCAGTGGCTGCTATTAACTCATGATGATACTAGGAGTGAGTTTACCAAGGGCTCAAAAATAAGGGGAGCACTGACAATGCAAAGCATGTTGCACACTATCCTATTCTAGCAACTTTAGCTAACAGCAACAAGTGGCTTAGCTGTATAACTTAGTCCATCATTTGTTTATTTTTCACTTTTTAATTTGTGTCATAAGTTGTTTTTTTTAAAGTTTTGCTGCTAGTGTTTAACATGACTCAGATCTGTGTTCGATTACACTGGTCTTTCTCAGGGACCCAGAAGAAAATTCTGTTTCTTGCCATCCAGAGGTAAGAAATGTAATTTTAATACAATAAAATACAGTTTCAAAGCAAATTAAGTTTCAAATGATTAAATACAATTTTAATGTAGTGAAGTTTAATTTCAAACTAATACTTTAAATTTTGAATTTTGCGTATCAGATGGATTCTTATTCAGATTCTGTTGGCACAATTTTTTTTTTGCCCTATGAGGATATTTGGGTCATTTACTTGGCATGTATCTTATTTAACTAGCACTTGCAATTCTACTGAAGAATCATGTTCCATATTGATATTGAAAAAAGGACGTTTTTCATTAACATATTTTTCAATAATTTTTATTTATTGTCTGCTATAAAAGTGGTATTGTGTGTTGAATATTTTCCTGAGTATCAATACCAAGTTTAAACTTTTAGTATTGTGACAACCCTACTGCTTATATATTAGTGTGGGTGTGTGGTGGGAGTGTTGAATTCCACTTTCAGAAGAAGACAACAGTGTCAATTGTCCACGGTCCATGGGGGAGGACACTACCAGCTCACCCCTGCTTCAAATTATGCTAAACAATACTTTTTCAAACAGGACTAAGTTGCAGAAAACTTTTTAATCACTAACTTCTGCAATAACTTCTTGGTTTTTTTGCCCCCCCTTGTAGTAGGAAACAAGAAAAAGTAGGAAATCTAAAAATAATTTGGCCATTAAAAACCTTTAAGCTCTACTAAACTGAAAAATACTCAGTCTGCATAGTGAGTACGTTCCACAGGATCCATGACGGAGTAATGCACCAGACTTTACAAACAGACTCACTCTACTTTTAGCATTTATGAGCTAAAATATTGTTGAGTTTGTTAACGCTATCAGAACATGAGACTCTCATTTTAATACACAGTAAGTTTAACTGCTTCAGTGTCTTCAGATATGAGCATCTTTATTCAAATATGGTTTGGTAAACAGATTTTAGGATCAAGGAACAAAGAGTCAAAATTTAAAGCCTCTATTTCATACATTTGGATACAAAACAAAGAAATAAGTTTTATATAACAAATAAATCTGATTAATAAATCTAAGCATACACTCTGACCTTACATGGAAATTAGTGTTTTCACTGAATTGGGGGTAGTGTTGCACCGCTGCCATTTTTTGGCCCGATACCGATACCTGGCTGTGCAGTACTGGCCAATACCTATATCATCTGTTTGAAATTGATGTTTGTGTGTGTATATAGGAAATGCATGAAGATCTTTAAACTACTTCGATATAAAATAATTGCCATCATGACTTTGTCAAGCTGCTGACTACCTTTATGAAGCAGGAAAAGGACTAATACAAAGTGAATCCAGTAGAGCTTTTTATTTCCTACCTGGAATGTGACATTAGCTGAATAAACTTTTGGCTCTCAAAATGGTATCGGTGTCCTATTTGTTGGTACTCGCCGATACCAATAGCACCATTTTAGCGCTGGATCGGTGCAACAGTAATTGTGGGACTGTAGTAGCATATATATATATATATATATATATATATGAACAAAAGCTCCTCTCCCTTGGAAATCATTTTCTAAATGTCAATTCCTCTTTTATTTATTTTATGACAAAGTATGTTATTTCAAAACTTTTTCTTCAGTCTCAAATAGTATTAGTTTTTGCTATCATGTGAAAATATGTTTTCTCTAATATATATATATATATATATATATATATATATTTTTTTTTTTTCCCCAGGTCGCGTTTTATGTTTAAATATAATAAAAACCCACAAAAAAAAAACTCCATACAATGTACGCCGGAACGACATATTTTAGTGACGGACTGTCCGTCACCAAAATCTTACCGACGCTTGACTCAATCGCAACTTTTTTCATTTCCATTAAAACATTTACTAGGCTACCACTGCACTACCCGAAATAAAATTAGAGTACCAGTACAGTACTATTGACCTGTCAATAGATAACTTTTCGTCAAAATATTCTCTTAAAATCTATGCATTTTATCCTATTATGGCCTAACACGCCTTTAACATTGTGTTGTATTTAATTTACTGATCAATCAAACTGCTGAGACAACTTTGTGCTTCCTCTGATCAATGTTGAAGGCGGCAAAGATAATGTCAACAGCACAGAGCCTACGTTTCCCTATATGTAGTTCTGCTGTGTGATTACTAATGAATTAACTTAATTCAATATATTCCTTTGGTCATGTTATTTTTATTTTACAGTGTCCTGTCTGGCTATGTGGCAATAAGAATAATTGTCTTGATGCCAAAAAGAGCTCAACAGATTTTACTTTCACAAGTGGAGCAGTACGGCTATCGCCATAGTGTTCCGCTTGATTTATGCATATAAATAGCTTTATTATAATTATGCAGGGAGTTTTACAGATTATGTGGACACTGCAAAGTAAGTAGAACAGGAAAGGAAAAACAGAAAAAAGAAAATATGAAAGAAAGAGGAGATAAAAGGGAGATCATGTTATTGTCAACCTTTCTAGGGGTACAATAATTTTCTTTCTAGGAGAGATGAGTTTATTTTTTTTTTAAATCATTCTGTTGAAGCATTTTTAAAAGGTGGTGCAACTTTAATCTGCCAACACTCCTAGAATTATTACATTTGTCAGATTCAAGTGACGTGTGTGACCATTGCGGGTTTTCCCTTCATTATAAAAGGGTTACTAACATGTTTATATATATATATACATACACATACACTTTTTTATACATTTTAATGGTAACAAGACTCCATCTTTATGATATTGGCATATATTGCCTAGTCTGTGTTGTCCTGTGAAAGAGTTGTAACATATTCCATGTACCCAGTTTTTTTTTTTTTTTTTTAATGGCAGCTGAAGATAGAAATGGACCTTTCTGCTAAACTAAGCAATAGCTCATGAATGAAATGCTGAATTCAAATCCAAAGAGGTCTAAAGAAATGCATGGTGGCTAGAGGATAGGCTATGTGCATGAAATGTGCATTTAAATAAGACGGCAGGCATCAGTAAGCTCAGGATATGTGTTGCAGATAAAAAGTTTCCAGTCCAAATTTCAAGCCTTGAACCTGAAGAAAACTGGTCAGGTGACATTATACTTAAACTTAGAAAATAAAAAAAGAAACATAATACATATTAATAAATATTCTTTATTTTGTAAATTTTCCACATTAGGTTCACACCCCAAATTTATTACAAATGGATGTTTATTCTCTGTAAAATTCATCTATTTATATTTCTCTACACATTTCAAGGTGCAACCTTTTAGCACTAGACTTAAGTGTCACCACTGAGAAGAAAAACAAATAAAAAGGAACAAAAATCATAAAAATAAGACTCCTGAAATGAATCCTCATCACAGCTTGCAACAATTGATTTCTTATTCGACTGTGCTCCAACCCCATAACCCAACACAAGACCAACAATAAATATCTCAGCTTGGTCAAAAAGAACAACTACATGTATGAATGTGGCAAATAGAGATGAACTGTGTCAGTGTACACGTGCAAAAGAGACAGAGATGTCGATAGGATACCAACCACATTGATTTCAGAGAAGACCCAACAAGACACCGAAGGCTACACCTGAAATGCATCTTTTCTAACAATCCCGCAGCAGTGCTTTTAGTTTCCCACTGGCAGATGTTACTTGACACTGGTTGAGGCAAACCGCTTTCCACAGACCGGCTTGCCCTCCTCAGTGGACCGACAGTAGTTGGTGAATTTCTCTTTTAGGAGCTGTCGATATTGGTGGCGGTTGCTGTAGAAGGATCGGTTTTGTTCTAAAAATGCCTGGATCTCATCCTGTGTCAGACCGCAATCCTCATCGGAAGTTATGTCGGAATCATCCTGAGTAAGGAACAGTGGTAAGGTGTTTACAAATCTTCCGAACTTTCATGCATTAATTAATACTTTTCTACCAACACAGGATATAATGGAGGAGAGGATTCTTACCAGAAGTTCCACTAGACTTATATTCGCCTTTGTAGGCCTTGTGCGAAGGCTGCAGTTGTTCTGATTTATTGTCCATGGCAAACGCAGAGCAATGTTGGTAAATCTATCAGCGCATTTAGAGGATAAGAATTCTTTGGTTCGACAGGTGTTTGCTGAGGTCAGATTGTGGCCTGCGGACTTCCCGTCTGACAGACAGCCTTCAGATTTGGGGCCCTGTAGAAACACGGCAGTGTTACCTCACACATGTTGCTTAATATTTTTGTCTGCAACTTGGAATTCTGCAACCCAGTTTGTTCCCAACCTGATCGCTGCAGAAGCTCTTGCTCTTTTTTTTCTTTTTACTCTTGGACTGACTCTTTTCCTCTGAGTGTGGCCAGCAGTCCACGCAGCTGTCGGTTCCGTCCTCCTCCTTGTCTTCAAAACACTGATTAACATTTGGATAATCCACTTGAAAAGATAAATAAAATACAATAAGTTCAGAGACCCACTGGAACATATCACAAATAAAAGACCAAGTTGCAGTTTTATCATCCATTGCCCATAATGCACCATCAATGAAATGCTCTAGATTCCCATTTGCAACCAATCCTGTTCAGCCTGACATCCTGATATATGTTCCAGGTCAACCAGTTGCCTTCAGAAGTCATCTCATTTTAAAAAGGGAGACTACATGTGTGCAATTTGGTCCAACTGTCCAATAAAGGCCACAGAGGTTTGTTAGAGAACATTGATAAACAAATGGAACAATTATGGCCACAAAACACAGCAAAGGGAAAAGGTAAACATGCAAAAGCTTTCTTTGATCAAACCGGATTATTCTAACCTTTTGGCCTAATTCAAGACGTGTGGATAAATGCAAACTCCACATCACGCTAAGGCATATGATCCCCTCTAGTGATCGACTGATACAGTTTTTTTAAGGTTGATGCTGATACCGGTCTAGCCAATATGAGCTGCTGGTTCTTTAGGCTGATATTTTTTTCTTTCCTCCGTTTACATGTCGGAATTGATACAAAAACAAATGTTGCACAAGTTTCAATAGAAAATAAATAAAATGTAAACAGTAGCAATAGATAACAAGTGGAGAAAGCAGCAATGCATTTGCTTTACATGATCTCAAGGCACGGCTGTTGAATGCACAAACAATTCTGTGATTTGCATGCATGTTTCAGTCCATATTGGGAAAAAAATTAAATTAACCGCTAATATTGGCCTGTCTCTAATCCTTCCAAAATGTCCCCTGCATTTCCTCAATGTTTATGATTTCAGTTGTTCTTCAATTAATGACTGAACAGGGTTATTTTAAAGGAGCAAAAGATTTAAATGCAAACAGATCGAATTTAACTGTGAAAAGTGGTACAAAAAAAGCGGTTTGCTTTTTGAGTCTCAACATAAATGTCTATCCTCCTGATCTTCATCAGTTAAACATAAAATAATAAGACTGTGTCCTTTCCTTCCACTTTAAAGTCACGCTCTTTATGCTTCTTTACACTGGCTGCAACATAAAATAAGGAAATGTATGAAGAGATTAGTTTCTGTTTAAATCTGACCTGTTTCATGGTTGCAAATCCCCTCTGAGCAGGCAACATCCGAGCCCTCTCGTGAACTCATCTCACTGCCTTCCATACTGGATGAGTAGCCCCAGTCGCTCGCGTTACTGATGTGGGACAAATCTGAAGACAACGACATCAAGCTCCGGCTCTTTATTCGTCCTCATAGACACACACAGCAGGACTAAGACATTCATTTTTTTGGTAAATGTTTATACCTTGCTTGGCGCTGTCTGAACAGTTACAGGGGGTGTTCCCGCTGGTGGCAGCCCCTTCCTCTTCCTCATCATTGCTTCCACAGGCCTTACAACTGCCCTCAACTGAATTAAAGGAACCCTATGGCAGCAAAAAGAGCTCAGTGAAATACAGACAATGATTCATCTTATAAACGCAGCCCAGAACACCTCCTGACCCTCCAATTTTACCTCATCAAGGATTTTCTCCTTATTCTCCGCCTGCTGTTCAGACATTTCAAAGCCACACTTGTTTTTGCGTCGATTTTTTCTTTTCTGCCTCTTCTTCTCCAGTTTCAGCTCTTTGGCCCTCTCCTCCTCCGACAGCTCCTCCACAAACTGCTCAAGCCGACTGATCCCCTGCATCTTCTCCACCGCCATCTGGAGGTCAGGGAAACATGGCGGTTAGAAAAAAAACACAGGGACACTGTGTGGCGTCCTCCACTGAACACGCAGCACAAAACCGAAGACACCTCAAAGCTTTTCCGTAGCGCGTCGACACCCAGATGGAACAATATCTGCCAGGTCTGTTCCTCAGCTCGTAGCTTCTGCCAGATTCTATGCAGTCGCTCGTAGAGATGAATGCCCAGGCAGGTCAGAACTTCCTCCTGTGCAACATCGATAGTTTTTGCATGCCTCTCTCTCCGCCTTTAAAAAAGGAATTTCATTATTAGTGCCATTACTAAAAAAACACCTGACAGGAACAAAGGGTTACACGTATTTATTATAACAACAAGTGCATGGGCGGTTCTAAACAGGGGCCAGGACCCCTATATTATGTACTGAGTACATAATATTAAAACATATTCTAATGATAACATGCACTGGAATAGACATAGTGACTGATTTTCTCTTTACAATTCTTTTTAATTATTTAAATATTGAGGTGAGAGCTTCATTCATAGGGATCACTGTTTCAATCTAAATGTTATTTTGAACCAAACTGATAGAAATACCTTCATGTGTTGCAGCTTAATATATCAGTGAATAAAACTGGTAATTATTGTTTAAAATTAAGTCAAAGATATATGTAAAATATTTCTGAATTATGAATTTACACTGACCTAATATGATAAAGAATGGGTTAATTTTTTATTTTAATAGAAATGTATTCAACATCTAATGATTGTATTTCCCCATGGAAGGGGATTCTAATTCTAAGGAAGTAAAATCAACATTTTTCAGTTTTCAATAATCGATTATTGAAATAATCGTCAACTAATTTAGTTATCGATTATCACTCACTGGAGTATATAGAGTCTAAAACATGCCTTTAGCTGACAAAGTAACCCACTTAGAGCAGCAACTATACCAAAAGTGTAAGAATTTATTTAAAAAAAAAAAAAAAAAAAGTTTTCATCTGTCGAAATGCTCCATCCAGAACTCCTTGAATGGATAAGCTTTATTCCACCTAGTTTAACTCTAAAGAAATCTTCATTAAGGAACCTTTTTCCATGTGATTATTAATGAAAAAAAAGATCAATAGTTTAATTGATTAGAAAAATAATTGTTAGCTGCTGCCCTAAGCTAAATGAAGGGGAAATTTCACTTCAGTCATAGCGCAGCTGCAAGCAGCTCTTTGGTTCCGAGGCTCTCCTAATATATGTCAATCAATAAACTATTGCCCATGCTTCTCTGTCTCCCTGTGAAAACGTGGACAGATATGGTGGTTCTATACCATATTTACGGTCTAGTATACTGTAATAGAATTCAACCTTATTGTTATTACACTGTACAAGTACAAAGTAACGAAATGTGATTAGATCCAACTTACTCGTAACCTCCCGAGAATTCAGGCTCCGCCCGGCCGAGTAAATGAGCGATGAAGTCCGTCTCACAGCACACGTGAATGTGCCGCTCGTGGGGGCAACAGCAGAGACCCTCATACAGAGCGGCGCAGTACCCCTTCTCCTCACTGGAATCCACCTCTCCAACCAGGATGTTATAAGCTCTGATCACTTTACTTTTACAGTCTGTGCAAAACCTGTTCAAGTCAGAGCCGGTCAGTTTCTCTTCAACATAAAGGAGCAGTGAGTATTATTGGTGAACATAAGAATATACCTGTGTTTACGCAAGTATGTCTCCAGTGTCTCCAGGAGACAGGCACTGTCGATCAGGACCACCTCATCCCTGCATTCTTGAGACATCAGCTCCCACACGTCCATCCAACTCCCCCTGCAACATTTATAACAATGTTATGACAACTTAGAGGCTTCTAGGAAATCTACAAAAACAGATTTTCTCAACACCTGGGAATGTGATGAGTACAGGGCAGTGGTGTACAGTGGTATAGCATACTTTGAGAGTCAACCAACAAAGGGTAAGATAATCGTTTCAAATTACAAAACATATGATTAGCAATGGGATTTTCTGGACAGTATCAAGCAAGTTGTTGCTCATAAAAACCAGCTGCAGCCTATTCTACAGTGATGTTTACAACGGCTGCCGTGGTCATTGTGTTCATGTTGTCTGTGTTTGTTATTTCAGGACATCAGAGCCTCGATCGAGAGCCCAGAAACTTAAGTGATACCAAAGTAAGAGAACATCAGGAATCCAAACCAACTTCCCATCTTCCGCCACATTTAATAGTCTAGAACAGGGGTCTTCAACATTTCCCAGGCCAAGGATCCCCAAACTGGTGGGATGGAGCAGGGCCCCCCCTCTGATTTTATATATAATCAATGAAATAGTGTTATATCAAACTGGTCCTATAGTCACTCTATTACAGATGGAGTAATGTAACTAAAGTAATTTCTCTCTGGGAATATTAAAGTATTTCTGATTCCTGGTTGATGGGACAGGTGTTGTGAATGAAACGGTGTCCAGCTTGAAAGAGCTCCTGTGTGTCGCTGAATGTGAGCATTGATGACTGGAAGACATCTTCTGCCGCCATTTATCTGTTTACTACAGTGTGTTGAATTCATGATAATGAGGATTTAAAGACATTTTAATTAGAGTCAAGAATTGCAAGGGGGATATAAATAAGAAAAAAAAAAAAAGTCTAATCAAGCAAAACTTTTGCGACCCCCATGCAGTACCTCCGTGGACCCCCTAGTGGTCACGGACCCCTGTTGAAGACCTACGGTCTAGATTTTAACAAATTTTTGTCTATTGTTGAACAAATTTTTCCAAAAAAAGAGAAGCGAATCAGACTTGTAAAAGAAAAAAAAAAGGAAAAAGTTCAAACTGTGCACATTACTTACCCCAATGGCTTAGGTTTGTGAGTGTCTAAGGAGTGCAACTGGCAGCGTTTATTCTTTTTACTTTTAGGAATGGCATCAATCATGTCATTCAGCTTTGACCTGCAAATCGATAAATGACAATTAAACAACCATCAGGATTTGGATACAATAGTAAAGAAAACCTAATCTAGACATGCGTTTTTATGAATTCTTCCTGCGTAATATAACCTCTCATTTCATTACTTGTATTATTTTTTTCTTTATTTCATTTTACATCTGTGTCATTAATACTTAACTGTGTTTATTTGGGTCGAAAAGATTAACTGGGGACATGAGCTTTAAATTAGCCTTTGGCTAGAAGCCCTAAAAATATTTAATTGTATTGTCCGTATATAAATAAGAAATAAAGTACAGTAGTTTGCAAAAATACATTTGAATGTTAACGTATTTTGTCAGGTAAACA